ATGCTTAATTAGGGCCTCTTAATTCTATCAAAAGTCGATGTGGGACAAACGGAAAATGCATAAAGTGTGACGCAATAGGAAAAGTAGAACTCCCAATTTTTCCGTTAATCTTACTCTCATTTATATCAATCAACATTTTTCATAAGGCATATAGTATTTCTTTTTATTTTGTAGATAGACAGATAGTAATAACCATATCTTTTATTGTCATTGTGAAATGATTGTTAAAATGTCTAAATTATAATTTAACTATTTGTATCATTTTCACAAAAATATATCCATCACCTAGGCCCGCGTAAACGCCAGACGTTAGAGCATCCTTAATGGGAGAATTCCTAATTGGGTTCTTAATTATATTTTATTAATAAATTTAAGTTAAAAACTTATGTTAAGAAATCATGGTTTTTTTTTTCCAATGTTAAAAACCCCATTAGGGGTTCCTAAAAAAAAAGATTAATTATTTTGTTTTATTGCAAATAGAAGAGTTTATTTGACTAAAAAGGAAAAATTACAAAGGAACAAGTAATATAAATCAAATCTATGATCTATTTGTAAACCCAAAATTCAAAATCTATGAAAAAAAGAAGAAGCTAACTTTACACAGAAAGGAGGAGACACGARGAGGATGATGATTGTACATTTGCCATCTTTGGACCATCGTAGGACTGCTTTCATTTCTTGTATTGAGTAAAACATKTGATTGCTACTTAACTGATACCTGCAGAATCACACACATTCATCCTTAAATCAGTGTCCTATCAACAGAGTTTAAATTGTAAAATGCTTCTTAACTCATACCATTCATCACACGCACAGTCACTACCATAATCTAACACTAACTAGACAGACGTACCAGGTCCGAGAGAAGCGGTGGGAGATGCCGAGTCAAAATCTTAACTATGATCTAATACTAGAGATTGCAATTTGCCAAAGCCACGATACATCAAGAGAGTTTTAGAGCTTCAGAATTTGCCAAAATCTTAACTATCTGCTCTTTTGCATCCGATTATGACAAGAAAAAGAACACAATGATCTAGACATGAAACCAATTACCTAACTAGAYACATGTATCATTTCATTTCTTTATGAAGTATGAAAGTTACTCAGCTAAAGAAGTATACCGCACCCAAGACATAGCAATGCGATGATCATGACATGATGTGTTGAAACAGAACCAACTTAGCTAACTAGATAAACATAAGCTCAAGCTGAGCCTGCAGCAGTCTTGTACAAGAACTCTCAAAACAGAGTCGTCATATCAAAACTCACCTCGAACTCTCCATCAACGCTGAGAGGGAAGAAAACTAGCTCTTGCTCTGGGAACAAGTCCCAATATTCGGAGAAATCACCACCATTGAGCCTTGTTCTGCAATGACAAGAAAACAGATATGTTTCAGACAAGATTCCTGCGGCAAGCTTATCAAAAAAGTTATCATGAATCAAGTAGTAAAGCAAACAATTTCTATAGAGAAAGAGGGAGAGCAAAACACAATCACATACCGGCTTCTTCTTAGTAACGGCTTTGACCCCTTTCTTTGGGGCTTAAAACCAATTGAAAATTTGTACTTTTTAGCATAAGACGTCGAACGAGACAAGTAGAAGGATAAGAAATAAACCAGTGACTACGAGTGCATATTTATTGATGATTAAAATTACAAGCTTTTCTAGCAAACATGAATTATATCATATGTACACTTGCACATGTATAGACTGAACAAGTATCAGTCGATTTATGCTATGCAAAACTAAGTTAGCTACAATGGGACACATAAGGCCATATTCAATTACGCATTCAAACCAACCGAAAGTGCAGAAACATTAAGATCAGACTAATATAATTCACTGCTATTAGCTTGGATCTCAAAGACAAAAGCAGAAAAGCCCAGAGAAGATGGTAAGGTAAAGAGTCTCAGGGACAGATCAAACTTGATATGAACGTCTACAAGCCAGTCTATAAGAATTGATCACCTGTATTTTCAAAGAAATTACCCATCAACCTTTGAATAAATCTCTAATTTCACCAAATTTTATCAAATATGTAAACAATCGAAACAGCAACCGCCGGGTGAAAAAAGTGAGACCAATCAAATGTTCAAAGAAGACCATATCAGAGAATCTTGAGAGGAAGTGTAAACCTTTCACCTACCCATAATAAGCATAGCGTTAGGAAGTGCTCCAAGCATCGGAAGAAACAAACCACCCACGATTCTGGTCACTTCCGTCGGAGAGAGGAGAAGCGTAGAGAGAGAGGAAAGACACTGAAGAAAACACACTCTTCTTCCTCTATCCAATCAAGCTTTGACACGTGACAGTTAAAAACCGTTTCT